CTCCCCCTCCCCCTCCTCCTCCTCTTCTTCCTCCTCCTCCTCCTCCTCCTCCTCCTCCTCCTCCTGCTCCTCCTCCTGCTCCTCCTCTGCTCCTGCTCTGCTCCTCCTCCTCCTCCTCCTCCTCCTCCTCCTCCTCCTCCTCCTCTTCCTCCTCCTCCTCCTCCTCCTTCGTCTCCAGCACACCCTGCTGGCCCTGGCTCCTGGCTTCCCCTAGAGAAGGGAAGGGGGGCTCAAAGGCGCTGCGATTCGAGTGTTCTTTCAAGACTGCGGCTGCCCCTCTGAGGGAGGGGGGCAGAGTGGGTTGAGGAGGGATTGGCACGTTGCCACATGGGACCCCCCTCTACCTGCTGGGTGGTTTGCGGCTTTGTCTTGCATTTCGCCCGTCTTCTCTTCGATCATCGACCGTCTTTGGGTTGAAGCTCAGAAGCTCAGAGCGTGCAAACTCGAGGAGGGCGGGAGGAGGGGGACGAGAAAAGAGGAAGAGGAAGGGGAAGGGGAAGAGAATGAGGAAGGGAAACAGAGAGGAGAGAAGAGGAAGAGGAGGAGGGGGAGGAGAAGGAGGAGGAGAAAGCAGAAATAGGATAAGGAACACGGGCTGACAGGTGGCACCCCAATCTCTGCACATTGGGGGCTGCTCGGTGGAGCCTCCTCTGGGCTGCGAAGGCCACCGCTCTCCATCCGTGCATGCGTGCGTTCCACCATTTTACCGATGTTTCCAAACCTCCTCGCGTCGTGAACAAGCACAACCAACATGTTTGGCAACATTTGGCATCTGGGAGCCCCGTGCTGGGCCCCGGACTATCAAACAACGAATCGGGATGAAACGCCCGACCCCAGAAAAGAAAGAAGGACCTCTGGAGAGCCGTGCCGTGAAAGAGCACGATATCGGATGTCTGGGTGCGTCTCCCGCTCGTCTCAATTCTCTGCGTAGGCTGCGAACTGTTCTGCCTGCTGGTAGACAGACAGAATGGGATGAGAAGGGCTAGGGGAGGGTGAGGATCCGAGAAGAGTTGTTGGGCTGCTTTATAAATCTTAGGCGGTTCTGAAAGATCATAATTCGGTTCAAGAAAATCCGGCACCGTACCACTGTGGCACGAAGTGGAGTGTCCCCAGGTCCCTTGATCAACCCCTGACCCTCATTCTTCAATCCTGAGAATTCTTTTCAGGGGCCTGGACCCAAAACTCTCAAATCTCTGGGGACTTCCCGTGTGCTATGTGCCTCCCTGGCCCCGTCGCGTCTTGTCGCGTGACTTCTTCGGCCTTGAGAGGGCCCCAAGACGGGCGAAGAGACCCCTAAGAGGCCGCCCACACAGTCCAAGGGTGTTCCGAATCGCTACACGAGCGGTCCAAGACGCTCAAGGTGGCTACGAGATGGCCCAAGAAGCCTTCCAGACTCCCCAAGAGAGCCCCAAGAGACTTCCCAAGAGGGCCCCGAATGGCCAAAATCATTGATTGTCCTTGGGTTTTCTCATGTTCCTAAGGTTTTCGACGTTTCGAGCTTCCGACGCTCCAAGACAGCCCATAAGGCCCCCAGGAAGCTTCCAGGAAGCCCCAAGAATGACCCAAGAAGCTCCCACGAGTCTCCTCCTCCTCCTCCTCCTCCTCCTCCTCCTCCTCCTCCTCCTCCTCCTCCTCCTCTTCCTCCTCCCACCCTCCTCTTCCTCCTCTACGTGTTCCCAAAAGGGCGTCCACAACGGCTGAGGGAAGGCATGGTCCAATAGCATAGCCAAACTTTATCCAAACGTTTGGCCACATGGGCGTCTTCTAAAAGACGGGGGGCGGCGGTGATTTACCGTAGGCGTCTTCGATCACAGGAGTACAAAGAGGGGAAGGAAGAGGCCCCAGCCACTCGGGCCCTCTTAGGCTCTCTCTCTTGGATTCGTCTGGAATCCTCTCTGCATGTTTTGGCGGGCTCTTGGGCCGGTTCGGTGGTACTTGGAGCCTCCCAGAGGGGGGCAGAGAGCGCCCTGGGGCAAATCGAGAGGAGCTGGGGGGACTTGCGTAGACGTAGGTCTGGGACCACATGGCGCGGGCGCGGACCCAGCGGCCACGGGGCCAGGCTCCGCGCATGTGAAGACGGATGCAGATTGCGGAAATTACTCCGTTGACCCTGCATCTGAGGGCAGGCACAGGCGCACATGACTTCTGGAGGCGCCTCCCCCGTGCCTCCTGCTCCTCCGCAGACCGACAGCTTGCACATTGAAGGTGGTCGACTCCGAAGCGGGTCGCCACGAGCCAACCAGAGCGCACGAGACAACCCAATGTGGCCGCGCTGGGGCAGTCGATGAAGACCGAATGCGCTGCACCCCGTCCACGCCACGATGATCGCACGGACCTGGTGCGCCTGATGCGTCCCGCCTCCCCAGGCTGTCAAGGCACACCAGCATCCCCCCCTGCCCTGGAACCTTCTTGACAAAGCGATAAGCGTCCGTGTCTTGCGGGAGCCACTCGAGTTCCTCGCTACGTGGTTGGAAAAACTATACTCTCCAGACACAGACAAAGGCGCGTTCACACACGCGCACCCACAAACTCGCACATCCCTCTCCTCTCCCAATCCCACTCCAACACCACCGCTGCCTACGCATCCTAGCAGTCACACTCTCAACAACATTACTTCCTGCTCACAACCCTCCCTGCGCGAGCGCAATATGTTCCTGCTCTTGCTCCGCAGCATCCCCCGCCAGCTTCGACTTAGAGCGATATCTACGCGTGCTCACCAGCCACCCTGCGCGAGCGAGCGCGATTGTTGCATGGTCCCGTTCCGTTGCAACGGGATTGTCGCCACATCGCTCCAGAGCGCGCGCAAGCAGCACGACGGCAGAGGCTCCAAGCTGGAAAGAGGCACGGCGAAGGGCAGATGGCTGATGACGCTGGACCAGAAAACAAACGACACCACCCCACCTACGGCCCCAAGGGCCTCCGCGTATACCAGGAGATCTGGCTCGGGCTTTTGCATGGTGTACGCTTTGGCCCCCGATGGGCCGCAGCGCAACATGAAGGGCCGCAGGTGGGGTGGTGTCGTTTTTTTTGGTCGAGGCGATGCTCATGGATCCGAGTCACGGGACGACAACGGTGAAGAAGAGGACGGGGCAACGAGAGGAGCTCGGCCAGAGCGGCGCTCGCAGGGTCATTCTCGGACGGCGTGCCGAGGGTCTCCGCAAACTTGCAGACCTCCCGCAGATGCAGCGCAGGGGAGGAGGAGCAGGAGGAGGAGGAGGAGGACGAGGGGGACAGGTGCGTACGCTTCCAAAGAAGAAAGACACACCACCACCAGCTATGGGGGCTGGCCGCCCTCCCTACCCCCCGAAGCTGGTAGCAACCCGTTCCGGGCGCGCCCCCAGAGATTGCCGAGAACGGAGTGCCTCCAGCTCGGGGGCCTCTGGGTATGGATTTTTTTCCCGCGCTCACAGGCTGGGCAAATACCTCGCGACCACCTGCAGACATTCTGCAGTCCCCAGGGTCGCAGGAGGAACACGAGCCTCCGCCCTCTGGGTATGGAGTTCTATGGAGGTCTGGTGGTGGTGGTGGTTGCTCCTTTTGATCACGCTTGAATGCGCACGCTTGGCTCATGAGTACGCACGCGTGCGCACGGCGTTGCGTTTGATCACGCCTGTGGGCAGGAGCCGTGGCCAGGCTCAGGCCCAGCGGTGCCAAAGGCCCGATTCCGGTAGCGCCGCCTGTCGACAGGTCGGGCCCGACTCCAGAACAAAGGTCGGGGAGCTACCGACCCAGGTCAATCCAGACCCGGGTCAGTCCGGCTTTGCAGGATCCTGCCAGATCCTGCAGGATCCTGCACCCAAACCTGGGCCAGTGCAGCCCTGGCTTTGCAGGATCCTGCAAGATCCGGCGCTCTGACTGCCCCCCGTTTGCATTGGCCCCCGCCTCTCGTGCCCCGGCAAGGCGTCCTTGACTGATCGCCGGTTCTGCCGAGGGGGGGCCACGAGGATGCAGGGCGTCGAGGCACCAGCGAGCCTCTCGCCAGCGCTCCGCGCACGACCCGAGAGTCACGGCGCAGCCTCCGCGGGCCCGCCTCTCGGGCCCCCCAAGCACTCTGTGACAAATCAAGGGGCACACGTCGGGCCTCTTCTGCCTCCGCCTCCGCCTCCGCCTCCGCCTCCGCCTCCGCATTCTCCTCCTCCTCCTCCGCCTTCTCCTCCTCCTCCTCCTCCTCCTCCTCCTCCTCCTCCTCCTCCTCCTCCTCCTCGTCCTCGTCCTCGTCCTTGCCCTCATCGTGTTCCTCTTCTTCCCCTCTCCTCCGCTCCTCCTCCTCCTCCTCCTCCTCCTCCTCCTCCTCCTCCTCCTCCTCCTCGTCTTCCTCCTCCTCCTACTCCTCCTTCTCCTCCTCCTCCTCCTCCTCCTCCTCCTCCTTCTCCTCCTCCTTCCCTCGCCCCCACGCGGGCCCCGGGGATGGCCCGAAGAGACTCTCCAAGGCTATCCCTATTGCTCGCAGAGGTTTCTCTGCTTACCCTGGCTACCCGCTCTGTTTCACTACATGTGTCTCTTCGTTCATTTTCCCGTCAGCTCACGGGCAGGCTTTCTGAATGGACTGGTGGGGATACGTGAAGCGTGAGGACATGTCAAGCTGAATGCCTCACTGCGCTACTATTTCCGATATACAAGTTTGTGCTAGGCTCGATGTCCTGGGTGGCAATGTGACGAATAGAATAGCATCGCCTTCTCCTCAACCTCATCCCAAGTGGGAACTACGTTTATCCCACAGATTCCCCACTCTTCCTACTATGGTCGGTCACTCGCTTTGACCAGAGCACGTGCTGCTCATTATACGTCTTCCCGTCTCCTCTCTCCTCTTGCCTCCTACCTCTTGTCTCTTGCCTACGTCCTGGCCTCCCCGTGCGCTGCCAACTGCTGCCGCATGCGCGACTGCCGCATCTTCCGTGAACTCCAGAGACGTCCAACAGAGCGACGTCCTACGCGCATCCGGACCAGATCCCGCCCCCTCTGGGGATTGCCAACGAACTGCGTGACAGTCGTCACTTCCGTGGGCTTCTGGGGGATCCAAACGGAGCCACGTCCTCCGCAGACCCGAAACAGACCTCGCTTCCACGGGCGGCGCCAGCTGAGCAAACAAGTGTCGAAAAGTTTGTGAGCTCCCGGGGGATCCAGCCGAGCGACGTCGTACCCACGCCGGAAATGAACCCCGCCCCCGTGGTTGATGTCGACTGCACTGAAGTCCAACTTGCGACGTCCTACTTAGACCCAGCCTAGACCTCTCATCCCTAGGTGGTACCAACTGCGCAACTGCCAGCACTCACGTGAGCTCTTGGGGTGCCCAGCGGAACGGCGTCCTACCTAGACCCAAAATACACCTCGCCCCTCTGGGTTGTGACAACTGCGCAACCAACAACCGTTAGTTCATGGGGCTTTCCGCGAGGCGACGTCCCGCCCAGACCTAAGCTAACTATCGCCTCCCCGAATAGAGTCAATTCCGCAACAGCCGTCACGTTTGCAACTCAGGTTGAGCGGAGTAACACACAGGAGTGCAATCGAGATCTCCCCCTCTGGGTGCTGCAATCTGCGTCACTCATTGCCCTTTTCGTGAGCTGCTCCGGGTCCAACCGAATGACGCCTTGCGGGAACGATGGGCTCTGGCTCTACCTGTGCCTCAAGCTTTCGGGGGCGACGACATCGGACAACTGGCTGATGATCCAGGACACGGGGCTGGAGATTCTCTCCCGCGAGTCGCCCGCGGCGGACCCGACGGCGCTCCAACCGACGTTCAACGCCCTCGCGGGAAGCGACCGAAGGACGGACTCACGAGCTCGGTCTGAGGAGGTTCCTACAAGACTCAGCGAACGAGCCGCCAGCGCGTTTGCCCGCGTGCTCACTTGCCTCCATGTGCAATTCGCGCTCGCGCAAGGGCGCGCGCGCGCGGTTGCGAATCCGCCATCCCTTCGGCGTGTGAGAGACGCTGTCTTCGTTTTCGTCGTCGTCGTCGTCGTCGTCGTCGCCAGTCTCAAGAAATTCAGGAACGAACAAAAAAAAACAACGTGGTGGTCCGCCCTGTAGACAAGGGGAACTCAGTGCCCGGAGGGCAGGGAGGGGGTCCACCCTGTGAACAGGGGGAACTCAATACCTAGAAGACAGGAGGGGTCCTCCCTTTAGACAGGGTGAAGGGTCCAGGGAGGAGGCCCGTGTCAGATTACCGCCCCCCCCTGGCCCCAGCTGTGGACAGGGGGGGGGGACATAGGGTGGCCCCCCCCCTGTAGACAGGGGGAGCTCAATGCTGTAGGCAGGGGGAACTCAAGACCCCTCACCCCGCCTCCCACCCCGTGGACAAGTGGACACGGGACCACCCCCTCCGGGGGGTCGCCAGCGGGGGTTCCGGCGGAGGTCCCGCCTTCAGGGTCGGCGGCACTGCGCGTAAGGCCTTCACAGATAGGGGGAGGCCAACAGGAGGCCCGAAGAGGCGCCCAAAAAGCCCCCAAGGGGCACCCAAGAGGCTGGAGAGAACCACAAGAGCACCCCCAAGGTGGCCCCAAGAGGCCGAAGCGTCGTCGTCGTCGTCCTCGTCCTCGTCCTCGTCGCCCTCCTCCTCCTCCTCCTCCGCCTCCTCCTCCACCTCCTCCTCCTCCTCCCTCCTCCTGCTCCTCCTCCTCCTCCTCCTCCTCCTCCTCCTCCTCGACGTCCCCCGTCAGAGCGGCGCGGTGTTGAGGCCGCCATGTTGGCTCTCAACCTCAACCCCGGATCGCTGCTGCATCGACGCTACGGCAAAAAACTGTTCGTCGTCACCGATCGATCGCCATTCCGTACAGGGCAGTTTTTGATACATAGGATGTTTAAAAATATGGGATGTTTAATACATGATGAATGTATGAATAGATTTATGCATGAACTCATCGTTGTTTTTAATACTAAATCCCTGCATGTTTAATACATGATCCGCACGCGGAGCATGTATTAAAAACGGCACTGTATCACCCTCCACGCCGTCTGGTGCCTCCGCTTTATGACGCTCCACATTCCACCACACGGGTACCTCCAGAGGGCACGAAGCGGCGGTGATTCGCAGGGGGGCGCCCTTGGCACAAACGCAGAAATTCGCACGTAGACCTAGCCAGGTATGAACGACCTTCAGCTCGACCCGCAACATGTCGCTGAGCGTCCCGAACAGACGTGTGGTGCCGTTGAGAGGGCGAGATCACCCGCCCCCCTGCAGCCAGAAGAACAGCACACAGCGGATTGTCAGATGATGCTTCAGCAGCTAACGCTGAGCCACGAGCCGAAGCCGAGGAGGGGAAGGGGGAGGGGGATTGGCAGAGGGAAGGTGGAGCGGGAGGGGTTAGACGAGAGGCAGAAGGGGGAGAAGTGGGAGACATGGCGAGAGAGAGAGAGAGTGACAGAGAAACACGGTGAAACACAGAAACAGAGAAAGAAATACACATATTACTACCTATATGCGTACGGATAGATCTGTATACATACATATAAGTACATCGATATACACATCTATACAAATATGGAGAGAGAGAGAGATGGAAAGAGAGAGAGAGAGAGAAATAAAGACACACACACACACAGCGAGAGAGCGAAACGGAGGTGAGGCGGGGCGGGGGAGAGTAAGAGAGAGGGAGAAGAGGGGGGGATGGGGAGAGGACAAGAAGGGAAGGGGAGCAAGGAGAGAAAGAGAGAAGCTGGACCTGTGCTGGCCAGACAGAGAATCCTGACCTCCAAGCGTCGTGAGCAGACACGACTGGCTTGTTTGCTCCGTTCCAGGCCCCGAGGCCCTCACAAATCGACCCCGCTCGAGAGAAATCGGGCACGCTGACAGGGTCGAGACATCCAGTCGGAATGTGTGTTCGCTACGTCAGGATTGCGTACACGATGTCGGATGCCAAGCGAACCAGCTAAACGCCTTACTTTCCTCCACCATTTGTCCCACGTGGCCATGTCAACATGGTTCTTGCCCTGGAACATCGCCTCTCGCGGCCCGCAACGGTGGAGGAGGCCAACAGCATGTCTGCGCATGCCTTCTGATGATGCTCATGGTAGTGGCTTCGGGAGCGGCCGCGACGCAGCCCCCTTTAACGAAGGCACTGGGACTACCCAAGCACGGTCGAAAGAACTGCCACCCCGACAATCGGCCACCAACAGCCTGGACGAAGTCCGAGCCCAGGGATACGGTGCGCAGCGCAGATGGCACAGGAGGTGTCCACGCGCCATGAGCAGCTGGACTCAGAACACGACCAGCAACGACGAGAGACACCCTGACACTCCTTACAGGGACAGCTGCACACTATGTTTGTTCAATAAATGCCCCACAGAAAAATCGTAGACAGGACCACGTCGTACGCCAAGTCTGACACAGCGCTAGCGCTCATACCTCATAGCATGGTGCCCAGCGACGACTGGAATGACGATCGGCTACACATCAAAGCTCGGGCAAACCACTAAAAAAATGAATAAACGTGCCCCACCTCGACGCATGACGATTGATATGGAGGTCGAGATCATTAAGAGTGAAGGAACTGAAAGGGAATAGCGAAGAAGAGAAGAGAAACCACTATGCCTGGGCAGAGCAAACTAGAATCCTTCATGCCCTCCTTGCAGCAAGGTGCTTGCACAATCTGGGGGAGGCCCTCCCTCTCCGGCACCCACGCATCCAGGCACGCCATTCTGTAAAGCCCCCCGAGAAACCAGCCCTATCCACCCCCGCATCCGCGCGTCACTCCAGGTCGCCCCCCCCACCACCCTCGTTTCTCCAGGAGGGCCCAGGAGGCACCCGCGAGGGCAAAGGAATCTCTCGGAAGGCACTCTGGACAATTAGCCTGGCGAAGGACCCAACCATATGCAGCTGCGAGTACCGCACGGATATGAGACGAAAGAGGGGGCACGCAAACTAGGCCCCTCTTCTCATAGGCACCGCGCCACTGCATGGACGAGGCACAGGGCAGCGCGGGCAGGAGCTCTGGCACGAGAGATGGTCCCTGCCACTAGGGCCTTCGGTGGAGCTCCCTATGGGGCCACGAAACGTGTGAGGGGTGTGCCGAGATGGGTGGTGGGGAGGCATGCGAAACCTGCCACTGGGGCCTTCGGTGGAGCTCCCTATGGGGCCACGAAACGTGTGAAGGGTGTGCCGAAATTGGTGGTGGGGAGGCATGCGGACCCTGCCACTGGGGCCTTCACTGGGGCGAAACTGTCGGTGGAGGCTCCCTGCCATGGGGCCACGAAACGTGTGAGGGTGTGCCGAAATGGGTGGTGGGGAGGCATGCGGACCCTGCCACTGGGGCCTTCGGTGGAGCTCCCTATGGGGCCACGAAACGTGTGAGGGGTGTGCCGAAATGGGTGGTGGGGAGGCATGCGAACCCTGCCACTGGGGCCTTCGGTGGAGCTCCCTATGGGGCCACGAAACGTGTGAGGGGTGTGCCGAAATGGGTGGTGGGGAGGCATGCGGACCCTGCCACTGGGGCCTTCGGTGGAGCTCCCTATGGGGCCACGAAACGTGTGAGGGGTGTGCCGAAATGGGTGGTGGGGAGGCATGCGAACCCTGCCACTGGGGCCTTCGGTGGAGCTCCCTATGGGGCCACGAAACGTGTGAGGGGTGTGCCGAAATGGGTGGGGAGGCATGCGGACCCTGCCACTGGGGTCGGTGGAGCTCCCTATGGGGCCACGAAACGTGTGAAGGGTGTGCCGAAATGGGTGGTGGGGAGGCATGCGGACCCTGCCACTGGGGCCTTCGGTGGAGCTCCCTATGGGGCCACGAAAAGGGGTGTGCCGAAATGGGGGGTGGGGAGGCATGCGGACCCTGCCACTGGGGCCTTCGGTGGAGCTCCCTATGGGGCCACGAAACGTGTGAGGGGTGTGCCGAAATGGGCGTGGGTGACGATGACGATGATGATGATGATGATGATGATGATGATGATGATGATGATGATGAAGGAGGAGGAGGAGAGAGGAGGAGGAGGATGAGTGACGAGGACGACCGACGACGACGACGACGACGACGACGACGATGACGATGATGATGATGATGATGATGATGATGATGATGATGATGATGATGATGATGTGATGATGATGATGATGATGATGATGATGATGATGATGATGATGATGATGATGATGAGATGATGATGATGATGATGATGATGATGATGATGATGATGACGATGGGAAGTGGGAGGAGGGGGAGGAGGAGGAGGAGGAGGAGGAGGAGGAGGAGGAGAGGAACGCGGGGCACCGTCTCTTCAAAACGAGGACCCAACACCACAGGATGGTTGGGAAAAAAACAAAAGTGGATGCGAAGGAGGACTGGGCAGACTTTTCCGTCGGCGGCGAGGCAGAATGGCTGCACCAGCGATAGAGCTAAACGGGGGCAACGAGAAGCGAATTGGCCAGGGTGAAGGAGAAGGCAAAAGACGGACAGGGCGGCCGCGGAGGAGGGAGGAGGGGACACTCAAAGGCGAGGACTGGGCAGACACGAGAGCGCCCCAGATCTTGCCGAACCCACCCGTGGCAAACCTGCATCTGTCACCACCAGCCGTTACCAGGTACATCCTGGGCCCTGGACCCTCGCAGCCCAGGCTAGGAGCGTGCATACGCTGCATACTCTGTCGCATGGAAACATATACCTGTCGAAGACCTAGCCCGGCCCAACCCTCTGGCAACCCTGGCCAACCCTCTGGCCAGCCACAGACAGACCTGGCCAACCCTCCTGGCCAACCTTCCAGCCAAACTTCGGTCATCGTGACTTCTTTCCTATAGCTATAGATATATCTCTTTCCTATGAGAGAGCGTGATCCAGCGCCGCATACTGTGGAAAATTCCCCCCCTCTTCCTCAGGAACTCGGGGGTCCCCCCCCTCCGACAATCCCCCCCCCTGCTGGAACCCCCCCCGCTCACCCCGGCAAACCCCTCCCCCTAACCCCCCCCTCCCCCTCCGAAAACGAGAGGGGGTCACTACTGGTTCGAACCTCGCCCCCCCCCCCTCCGGAAAACCGGGGGGGGTCATTACCAGTTCGAGCCCCTCCCCCCCCAGAAAACGAGGGGGGGGCACTACCGGTTCGAACCCCTCCCCCCCCCTCGAAAACCGAGGGGGGGTCACTACCAGTTCGAACCACCCCCTTCTGGAAAACCGGGGGGGGGCACTACTGGTTCGAAACCCTCCCCCCCCAGAAAACTAGGGGAGGTCTCTACCGGTTCGAACGCCTCCCCCCCTCCAGAAAACCAGGGGGGGTCACTACCGGTTCGAACCCCCCCCTCCAGAAAACCGGGGGGGGGGCCACTACCGGTTCGAACCCCTCCACCCCCCCACGCTCACCGCTGGCAAACGACTCACAGGTCCCCACTACCGTCCGCACCACTACTGCTGTCCCCAGCACCACTGTCCTCACCACCACTGTCCACACTGTTCCCACCACCGTCCCCACTGTCCCCACCAGTGCCCCCACCACTGTCGCACTGTCCCCACTGTCCCCACCACTGTTCCCACCACGGTCCCACTCTCCCCACTTTCCCCACGGCCCCAACCACTGTCCCACTGTCCCCACTGTCCTACTGTCCCACTGTCCTCGCCGCTGTCCCACTGAGCTGTCCCACTGTTCCCACCACTGTCCCCACCAATGTCCCCACTGTACCTCTGTCCCATTGTCCCACCGCCGTCCTCGCCAACGCCCTCACCACTGTCCCCACCACCACTGTCCCCACCACTGTCCCACTGTCCCCACCACATGCCCACTGTCCCCACACCACTGTCCCCACCACCACCGTCCCCACCACTGTCCCAGAGTCCCCACCACTGTCCCACTGTTCCCACCATTGTCCCCGCTGTCCCCACCAGTGCCCCCACCAGTGTCTCTCACTGTCCCCACTCCCCACCATTGTCCCACCACGGTCCCACTCTCCCCACTTTCCCCACGGTCCCCACCACTGTCCCACTGTCCCCACTGTACCCACCACTGTCCCACTGTCCCCGCCGCTGTCCCACTGTGCGTCCCACTGTCCCCATCACTGTCCCACTGTCCCCACTGTCCCCACCACTCTCCCCACTGTACTACTGTCCCACCACTGTCCTCACCACCGCCTTCACCACTGTCCCCACCACTACCGTCCCCACCACTGTCCCACTGTCCCCACCACTGTCCCGCTGTCCCCTCACCACTGTCCCCACCACCACCGTCCCCACCACTGTCCGCACCACTGTCCCACTGTCCCCGCACCACTGTCCCCACCACCACCGTTCCCACCACTGTCCCAGTACCCCCACCATTGTCCAACTGTCCCGAGGAGCGGGAATCGTTTCACCGCGGCGAAAGCGGGGGTTCGAACCGGTAGTGACCCCCCCCCCGGTTTTCGAGGGGTGGGGGGGGAGGGCTTTGAACCGTTAGTGACACCCCTTGGTTTTCTGGATGGGGGGGGAAGGGGTTCGAACCGGTAGTGACCCCCCCCCCCCCCGGTTCTGGAGGCGGGGGGCTTCGAACCGGTAGTGACCCCCCCTCGGTTTTCGAGGGGGGGGGGGTTCGAACTGGTAGAACCCCCCCCCCTTTTCATGATGGACTGGGGGGCGGGAGGGGTTCGAACCGGTAGTGACCCCCCCCTGGTTTTCGAGGAGGGGGGGACGGGTTGGGAACCGCCAGTGACCCTCCAGGTTTCCGCCAACAGCAGTAGAACACGCTCTTTCCTATCTATCTATCTATCTATCTTTCGACGTTTACCTCATGCCTCTCTCTCCCTCTCTCTCCCTCTCTCTCTCTCTCTCTCCCTCTCTGCTGTGCCTACAGATCGATTATTTTTGTGGTGGTTTTGGCGGAATTGCACATAGATTCCCTTTGTGGGAGGTCACAGCTCGATTCCCTTTGCGTGAGGGGGTACAAGTTGATTCTCTTTGTGGCGGAGTAGGGAGGGGGTCTGGCCCTGGGGGGAAGGTCCCAGCAAAAAAAAAAAAACGGCCCCCCTGAATCCACTGGTACAGCTTTTTGTTTGTTTCGGGCCCGCCCAGAAAAGGGCTAAAAAAAAAAACAAAAAACAAGAAAAAACAAAAAATGGCCCAGTGGATTCAGGGGGGCAATATTTTTTCTTGCTGGGACCTGTCCCCCAGGGCCAGCCACCCACCCCCCTCCCTCCTCTGCCAGTGAGGGAGATCAGATGTTTCACCACCCACAAAAGGAATCGATGTGTAATTCCGCAGCAAAGGGAATCAATGTGTAACCCCTCACACAAAGGGAATATGTTTGTAGCCCCCACAAAGAGAATCTGTGTAATTCCGCCACAAAGGGAATCAATGTGCACCCCCTCATACAAAGGGAGTTTAGTCTTAACCCCCCACACAGGGAAAATATGTACAATTCCGCCACAAAAGGGAATCAATGCGTACCCCCTTACACATCCCTTTGTGGCGGTTTGGCGGATTGGCACATAGGTTCCCTTTGTGGGAGGTTACAGATAAATGCCCTTTGTGTGCGGGAGTACAAATTGATTCCCTTTGTGGCGGAGGAGAGAGGGGGTCTGGCCCTGGGGGAAAGGTCCCAGCACCCAAAACACACACACACGCACAAAAAAAAAAAAATGCCCCCCGAATCCACTGGACCAGTCCATTTCTTTTTTTTCTCTCGGGCCCGCCCGAAGACAGAGAGCAAACAAAAAAAAAAAACTGGTCCGGTGGGTTCAGGGGGGTAATCATTTCTTTTGTTGGGACCTTTTCCCCCAGGGCCAGCCCCCCCCCCTCCCTCCTCTGCCACAGAGGGAATCAGTGTGCACCCCCTCACGCAAAGAGAATCTACGTTTCACCACCCACCAATGGAATCGATGTGTAAATCCGCAGCAACGGGAACCAATGCGCAGCCCCTCACGCAAAGGAATTAGGTTTGTAGCCCCCACATAGAGAATCGATGTGCAATTCCGCCACAAAGGGATCGATGTGCACCCCCTCACAAAACGGGAATATATGTGTAACCCCCCCACAAAGGGAATATATGTGTGCAAGTCCGCCACAGAGGGAATCAATGTGCACCCCCTGACACAAAAGGAATATACTTGCATCCCTCACCAAGGGAATCGATGTGTGACCCACACACAAAATGGGCCCTCAGAGAAGGAGACCCCCAATCAACTTAAGACCCTTCCCTTTCTTCCAAAAAAAAGAGAAGGAGGAGCAGGAGCTCCCCTTCCCCTCCCATCCCCGCAGGAAGGAGGACGCAGAGGAGGAGGGGGCTCATTCCCTTGCCCCTTCCCTCAGGATAGAGGAAGAGGTCCCCTGCCCGTCGCTTTCCCTCGGGATAGAGGAGGAGGATGTTCCTTCAATTCCCTTTCAATCAGGGCAGAGGAGGGGGAGGTTCCTTTCCTTCCATCCCCATTCAGGCAGAAAGGAGGAGGATGAGGAGGACGAAGAGGAAGTGGGAAAGAAGGTTCCTTCCCTTCCCTTTGTCTTAGGGAAGAAGAGGAGGAGGTCCCCTTCCTGCCCCTTTCCATCCGGATGAGGAGGAAGAAGGAGGAGGCCCATTCCCTTCCTTTCCCTCAGGAAGGAGGATGAGGACGAGGCCCCTTCCCTGCCCTTTCCCTCAGAAGGAGGAAGGAGAGAAGAGGGATGATAATCCTTCCCTTTCTTCCCCATCAAGAACAAAGAGGAGGCGTTTCCCTTCCCTTCCCTGTCCCCCAGGAAGGAGGTGGAGGATGCCCATTCGCTTCCCTTTCCCTCAGAGGGAGGAGGGGAAGGAGGAGGCACACTCCCTTCATTTTCCCTCAGGAAGGATGAGGAGCAAATTCATCCCCTTGCCGCTTGCCTTCCCTCAGGGAAGGGGGGTGCATGCGGATCCCTTTCCCCCACGACGGAGGAGGAGGCCCCCTTCCCTTCGCTTTCCCTCAGGAAAGAGGAGGTGAATATTCTTTCAATTCCCTTTCCAGCAGGGCAGAGGAGGAGGAGGAGGAGGCCCCTTCCCTTCCATCCCCATTCAGACAAAAAGGAGGAGGATGAGGAGGACGAAGAGGAAGTGGGAAAGAAGGTTCCTTCCCTTCCTTCTGCCTCAAGGAAGAAGAGGAGGAGGTCCCCTTCCTACCCCTTTCCATCCGGATGAGGAGGAAGAGGAGGAGGATGCCCATTCCCTTCCTTTCCCTCCGGAGGCGGAAGGGGAGAAGAAGGGGGACAATCCTTCCCGCTCTTTCCCTCAGGAAGAAAGAGGAGGCGGTTCCCTTCCCTTCCCTGTCCCCCAGGAAGGAGAAGGAGGATGCTCATTCGCATCCCCTCCCGTCAGAGGAAGGAGGAGAAGGAGGAGGCTCACCCCCTTCATTTTCCCTCAGGAAGGATGAGGAGGAAATTGATTCCCTTCCCTTCCCTCAGGCAGGGGGAAGAGGAGGAGGAGGCGGAGGGGGAGGAGTAGGTTCCGCCATCTCCCTTTTCCATCAGAAGGAGGAGGAGGAGGTACCTCCCCTTCCCTTTCCCGTAGGAATGAGAAGAGGATGTTCCTTCCTTTCCCTGCCCTTCAGGATAGCGGGGGAGGGGGGGGTCTCCCCTTCCCTTTCCCTCAGAAGGAGGAGGCGGGGAATGAAGCTCTTTTCCTTCTCTCTCCCTCAGGGAGGACGAAGAGGAGGTTCCCTTCCTGCCAATTTCCATCAGAAGGAGGAGGAATAGGAGGAGGAGCAGGGTCATTCCCTGCCCTTTCTGTCAGGAAGGAGGCTGAGGATGCGGCTCCTTCCCTTCCCTTTCCCTCAGGAGGAGGAGGAGGAGGAGGAGGAGGAGGAGGGGGAGGCGAGGAGGAGGATATTTCCCCTTCCATTTCCTTCGGGATGGAAGAGGCGTAGGGGTAGAAGGAGGAGGAGGTTCCCTTCCTTTCCTCCTTATGGAAAGGAGGATGAGTTTCGACGTGACGTGGCAAAAGAGAAACAAGAAAGAGAAAGAGAGAGAGCAGGAGAGATACATAGAGAAAGCGAAAGAGAAAGGTGATTTGACTAGGCGTCGCCAGGTCAGTCTTGCGGGGGGCGCATGAGTCGCTCGCGCTTGCTCTGACTGAGCGCGCGGGCATCTGAAGAGCACGCGCGTGAAAGTGTCGCTTCGCATGATAGATGATCAATCAGGTGGGGGATGGGCGTGTGCGTGGACACGCGCATATGCTTTTAGATGTATGTGCATACCTATCCAGATGCACTATGCGAGGAGGCGTTACATGTTAAGTGAGTCGTTCAAAAGATGACGTTGACAAAAAAGAAGGGGGACCGACATGCGCGCGCCCTACATGGATCTAACTATATAAATGTAAACAAACAAACATACATACATATACATACTTGAAAATATAATGAAACCAAAAGTCCAGTCCAAAGCTCTCTCAAGGTGGGCCTGGCCAGGGCTGCTAGTGTGTTCGAAAGACCTAGGCTGCGAGAAGGTTCCGCAAGAGAACCAGACCGAGAAGCCCAGAAATTCCGATGGGAGCCATGAGGTCATCATAACAGAAAACATGACTGGATGATGGCGAGACAGACGGGCTAGAGAGGGGACAGCCTTTTCAGCAGGCATAGGGCTTCTTCGAAGGGTCCTACCCCTCAAACACAGCACGCCCCTAACCTTCTGAGAGGCGGGGGCCTTCTTGAAGGCCGATTTCCTGTCACGAACCCTTCTGCGCGCCGCCACTGGAACCCCAAGAAGCCCAGGGCACCCTGCAACGGCTCTGGATACGCGTCCACCCTGCAAACCCCTGACCTTCACTGCGAAAACCTTGGCTCGAGACTCTGAGCCCTGGTCTGGCCTATGCTGGCCTGACCCACCGGTTGGGGAAAGCAGGAAAGTAGGTAGAGCATGACAAGCTGGCGGGGGGACAAGGCGGGACGGCAGCGTGCTGACTCGGGGCCGGGGGGTGGGGGACCCTGGCACAACTCCGGCGGCGTCTTGCCACGGGTCCCCACTGAGGGTGACCAGGTGCCCGTCTCCGATCACCACGGGGCGCTCGAAGGCGGGCGCGCAGGTGCCGCCTTGCGGAGCAAGATCTCGCCGAGGATGCACCCGACGGACCAGACGTCCACGGCGGAGGTGTACTGCTTCGGCAGCAGCATGACCTCCGCGGAGGCACCGAGGAGAGAGAGCAGAGGGCGGGACGAAGGGGCGAGGGGAGAGGCGCGGGCCGAAGAGCGGCACCTCGAGGGCTCCAGGGAGGTTCAGGCAGAGGGGTCCGGCCTAGCCTGCCCAAGGTTAAAAGGCAGGGGGCACCGCCCTCTGCCTGAGGGCCCACTTCTTGTGCGACCGTTTGGCCTGCTGCTTCGGCAGCAGCACGGGCTCGCTGAGGTGTCTGGCAGGACTGGGGGGGCGGTCAGCAGGGAAGGAAGGGGCGGGAGACTGGCAGGGACGAATCCGTCAGCATCGAATCGGCACATCGGATCGGATCGGAATGTGCATCGAGTTGGGCCGCATCGGCACGGCGTCGGCATCGAATCGAATCGGCCGCGCCTAGATGCACAAGGGGGCCTCTTGGGCCGTCCTGGACGCTCTTCCAGACCAACAAAGGGACGGTTCTAAAATCAATCAATACCAACAAAGGGACGGTTCTAAAATCAATCAATACCCTACGGGAACTCAATATGGGTTCCCTATCAGGGGCCTCTTGCAAGCTTTCTCAAAGCGGATTTTGGGCGTCTCGGGAGCCTCCAGAGCAGTGGTGGAACCCCTAAAGGCGTTGTAGAGCCGTCTTGTGCCACCTTCGGAGCCATCTTGAGGGCCGTCATCGGCCGCATTGGGGGCCTTGGGACCGATCTGGAAGCTCCAAGATGTGCGACCAGCCCCGGCACCCCCACACCTGGTTGGGCAAGGGCCGAGGGGTCCCTGGCCTTCGGTGGAGCTTCCTATGCGGCCACGAAACGTTGTTCTGGGTGGGGGAAACGCATGCGGACACCGCCACTCAGGCCTTCGGTGGAGCTCCCAATGGGGCCACGAAACAGTGCATTGGGTGGGGGAGCCGCATGAGAACACAGCCACTGTGGCCTTCGGTGGAGCTCCTTATGGAACCACTGTACTGGACCCCGCGATTGAGGCCTTAGTGCCGCCACTGAGGCCTTCGGTGGAGCTCCCTACGGGGCTACGAAACGCGTAATGGGCGGGGGTCCCGCATGTGAGTGCAGCAACTGGGGCCTTCGGTGGAGCTCGAACACAGCCACTGGGGCCCTGTGGGGCCACGAAACGCTGTACTGGGTGGGAACTGCATGCGAACACAGCCACTGGGGCCTTCAATGAAGCTCCCTGTGGGGCCACGAAACGCCGTACTGGTTGGCGCGGGACGCGGGTGAACACAGCCATTGGGGCATTCGGTGGAGATCCCTACGGAGCCACGAAACGCTGTATTGTGCAGGGGTCCCGCATGTGAGTGCAGCCACTGGGGCCTTCGGTGGAGCTACCGATGGGGCCACGAAACGCTGTGCTGAGTGGGAGAACCGCATGCGGACACCGCCATTGGGGCCTTCGGTGGAGCTCCCTATGGGAACACGAAATGCTGCACTGGGCGGGAGAACCGCATGAGAACACAGCCACTGTGGCCTTCGGTGGAGCTCCTTATGGAGCCACGAAACACTGTACTGGGTGTACCGCATGCGACTGCAGCCACCAGGGCCTTTGATGGAGCTCCCTATGGTGCCACGGAACGCTGTACTGGGTGGGGGAGACGCATACTGACGAGGGCAAAGGCAAGGAGGGGGAGGAGGGAGGAGGGAAAAGAGGTCGGGAGGAGGTGAGCGGTGAGAGAACGCGCGGCGCTCTCTTCAAAACGAGGACCCAACACCACAGGATGGTTGGAAAATAAGTTCCAAAACCATGTCCTGTTTATGTGCTTTCGGGATACTCGATTTTGAAGTCCTTACTAAACCGAAGGTGTTTGAAGGATTTCGGCATGCGAGCGCGCGACGACGCGCGCGTGTGCACTTCGTCCCATTTGTTGCAAGGGATTGTTGTAAATTTGCTAGACGAAAGGGCGCGCACAGTAATATTTGACAACGATGAGGGGGGGGGCCGAAACCGGCCTGGCTGGGATGGTACGGATTCTCATTCAGGGGTCACCATTGGGGCAGAATCCGCTGGACAGGCGGCCTGTGGGTCCCAGCGGTTGCCAGTCCCACGCCGTTGACGGCCGCCGGCGGCAACTGCACGCACTACTGACCTGAAGAATCGAACTGGGACAGCGCAGGCGAGCTCAAGCCAGCACAGCCAGTTGTAACTTATAAGTTGTAACTTCTAAGTAAACGCAAAATCCGCCGACCCCTTGGGGTTCATCGGCGTGTGAAATAATTAAGTCTCCCTCCCCAAACATCTTCCCCGGGAGCCCAGTCCGGTCGATTGGGGGGGTCCCCCAGGGCCCGGTCGAACGCATCATGGGGGACAGAGGGCTCCAAAACAAGTCCCGAAGGCCTCAAGAGGTCCCCCGGACGGTCCAAGAGGGCCACGAATCGCCGAAAGATCCATCCAAAACGCCCACGCTGGAATCCAGACGGCCGAAGGCCCCCAAGACGCCCCAAGAAGCCCCGAGGAGGCGTCCCTAGAGGGCCTTCAAAATCAAAAATCGTGGCGCTGATAACCGCCAAGACGGCCCAACAGACCTTCAAGATCGCCCCGAGACCGGCCACGAGGCCCAAAAGAGGATTCCAAGACGACCCAAGAGGGCCCCGAGACGGCCCAAGAAACCCCCCAGACGGCCCACGAGGGCCCAAGGATAGCCCTCAAGAGGGAGCCCAGACGGGGAACCCGAACGGACATTTCCAGCCTTCGACCACAAGACGCCCCGCGGTTGCCCCCCGGTCCCCGCGACGCAGACGGCGCATCCAGCCCCATCGACCGGTGGTCGTCGTCGTCGTCGTCGTCGTCGTCGTCGTCGTCGTCGTCGTCGTCGTCGTCGTCGTCGTCGTCGTCGTCGTCGTCGTCGTCGTGGTCGTCGTCGTCGTCGCCGTCGTCGTCGTCGTCGTCGCCGATGAAGTCGGAGATAGAGGAGCCTCTGGACACTATTCCTGGAGGTGATAGGTTGGAAGTCCTGCAACATCGGGAGTATACAAGCGCGTATGTGTGCACAATGAACGTTCTGAGCTGGCAGCTTGGCGGGCGCTCGGGGCGACGGAGAGACCACCGTTGAATGTGGCCGTGATCCGATCGGAGCCTGGCATGTGGTCGACCCTGCAAGAGGGGGAAATCCGCCGACCCCCGCTTACCGAGGATGAAAGGGTGCTTGAGCGAGTCGGCTGTGCTCTCCCTATTTCCCCCTCCCCTGGGGTCCAAAATGCCGTTTGAGGGGGGACGGCGGGGAGGGTCCAGGGAGGGTGGAACTCCGAGCCGCATCCCCAGGGCCTCGGGAGCCTCTCCGGAAGCCAAAGACGGCCCAAACAGAGCTGCAAGACAGTCCAAGGCAGCGTCGAGATCGCACAAGGAGGCCCCACGATGATCCAAGATGGCATCGAGACGGCCCGCAAAACGCCCAGTACGGCCCAAGAATCAACCAGTGGTGCGTCAGAGTCATAATTTCTGGCTGCCCTGCGCGCACTTCGAAGAGATGTGTTGTTCCTACCCTAATCGGAATCGCCTCAAGACTGGTCCACGAGCTCTCCACTCCCGTCCCATCGGAGCCTTCCTCCCTCAAGTCCCCTGCAATCATCTCCCCTCCAAGCTTCTCCTGAGCACCATCCCAACCAAGCCTTCGAGACGAGTTTAGCTCCTGCGACGGAGGCCCTCTTGCGGCCAATGCGAATCTAAAGACTATGCCCGCAAACAAACTCTCACCAGCCCTCTAGAGGCGTTGATGGGCCAGGGGGGCCCTCTCTTCCAAACCCCTTCTTCTCCTTTGGAGAATGATTTTACCTCTGCTCCGTATTAATGTCCGCGGAGGGCGAGGGGAGGAAATGAAAAGGAGAAGGCCTTCTCAGAAGGCGGCGGGACTTCTCAGAAGCCCGCACCCCTTTCTGAGAAGTTTTTGTTTGTCTTCGGGGTAGGCTTAGAAAACTTCTCGGAAGACCAGGGGACTTCCGAACCTTCTGAGAAGGCCTTTTCCTTCTCACTTCACCCATCGCTCGCCGCAGATAAGAAACACCCCACCACTCGACAGGCGGCCGACCCGAAGTAAAGACGACCCCCCCAACCACCCCTGTCAAAATACAACAGATCTGGATCATCTGCGTGTGCGTCCAGCGATCCCTGTGCATTGCTCGCACACAGGACGGCGAGGGGCTTCATACTGCCACGTGCGTGCAGGCCCACCATCCCTCTCAACTAAACGATGCAGTGTGCACGTGGCGGCAAAATCTACCAGCCTCTTCGGGTGTCATCTGCGCGTGAGATTTTACGCCCGAAATGGGTATGGATAAAATGGGCGCAATGCCCGGCAACAAATGTTGTCCAAAGCCGACAGCGACCGCCGTCGGGCAGGCGGCTTTTTCGTCCCGAGAGATGCTTCCCCCCCCCCCAGCCCCTTCCCCAGGTCGGGGGTTATTAAAGGTGCCCCCAGCGTTTCGCTCAACTTTGGAGCCTCTGGGGCCGTCTGGGCCTCGTGAGGTGCTCTGGAGACCGTGGGGGCCTCCCTGGAAATCCTGGGAGCACCTTGGGCGAAGGGCACTTCCAGCAACACCCGACCCGGAGCCCGGCCCGGCGGATCCCCCCCCCCGAGCGCGGCCCGACCGCACCGCGGGAGGTCATCGGGAGGTCAGGTGGCCCCAGAACGAGCCAGGAGAGCCCGAAGAGGCCCCCAAGTCGGTCCAAGAGGGCAACGAGTCGCCGAGCGATCCCCCAGGACGGCCACGATAGCCTCCAGACGGCCCAAGACGCCCCCAAGACGCCCCATAGAGGCTTCCAAGAGGCCTCCCCAGAGGGCCCCAAGAGTTAACAGTCATCGATGCTCAACTGGTTTTTGAAAGATGTATTGTTCTCGCCTTTTCAATTTCCCGACGCTCCACGACGGCCCAAGAAGCCCCCGAGCTCCCCAAAGACGGCCCCCGAAGGGGAACCCGAGCCCACAGTTCGAGCCCTCGGCCCCCCAAGGCCAGAAGCCTCCAAGAAGCTGCAAGTGGCCCCAACGAGGCTCCTTTGAACCCCCACAAGG